AAGAACTGGGTCATCATATAATCAGGGGTGTCACAAGAAAGCGCCATGCTGAGGATAAGAGAAAATTAATGGAAAATCAGAACTCTCCTGACCTCACCTTCATCTATTATTTTTCTCATTTCCTCTGTACATTCCAATCCCAGACAGCATAACATCAGAAAACAAATTTTGAAGGGGTTTAGATATCTAAATGAGAGCATACATTTCTTAAGAAGCATTAAAATTGTTCACCTATATAAAAGCCATTAATTTCTCTAATTTCTTATTAGCTAAAAATTATCTGCATAGACAGTTTTGGAATCCAAGCACATATATTGCTGTTTTCAGCACCTATAGACCACTGTAGTTTGCTCTTGCAGTCAGCAATGAAAGTGAAGCACACTGCAGAGACACAAAAGCTGGAAGTAGGCTTGGTACAGCCACAGCCCTGCACCCTGCTGAAAGACCTGTGCCCTGAACATCCTCTCTACCTTTGTGATACATCCCTTATGTGCACAGACTTATCCAGGAAAAATACTCTTAAAGCATAGATGTGCTTGGACTTTTCTGATTAAGCAACTAACCAGAAGCACCTGTAGAAAACTGCATTTTAATAGAATGTCATAAGAAGGACACCTTTTACCCAGAATGGGAATTCACACTACAAAAAAACCTAAAAAAACCATCACCACCAGCAAAAAAAAGATTAATCTGATAAAATGTCAAATACAGAGATAGGAAAACTGAAAGAGCAAGCTTCCTGCTGCACACTCAGATTCCCATCCTGGGCCATCAAGTGCAAACCTATGATAACTTAGACAAACATTACAAAAAATTTAATTCTGACACTGAAAGTCCATTTTCAAAAATGGCTTACTTTTTGCAGGAGGCTAAACCCAAACCCTATTTCTCTAAAGATAAATACTGTTCTCATATCAACTAAATGTTTTACTTGGAAATCATTGTTCAGTCCAAAGACTGGCTGAGCTATGGCCATGCAGCTAATCTGTCTGCCAGGGCTGTCCCAGCTTCCAACAGGCTTGCATCACAACCAATCTGACCATCACAGCACAGACCATAAGATTTGTTTCTATTCAATACAGTTAGTGCTAGCACACTGAACCTTACTGCAGGAAACAGACCTTCACCAGTTACGAAGAACATATTCAAGGCCAGAATGTATTTTAAACAAATAATGCTTAAATTGTAATTTTGAAGCATTACTGCTTTAAGTTTACCCTCACGTTTTTACAACTACATGACTCAAGAATTGCAAGACAATATTTAAATCAACCAAGCAGTCTGAGTAAATATAGTGCATTTGTGAGATTTTGTTATTCCTACCAGCATTTGTAGTAGGTATGGATTTGAACACCATTGTGTCCTGCACTGTTGCAGCAAAATAATGTCTGGTATCTTAACAGCAAAAGGATTGATTCAGGATGGAAAAAGCCTGTTTGAAAGTCAAGGAGTACCAGAGGAGGAAAGTCAAGGAGTACCAAATGGGAGGAGAAAGAATACAGAAAGCTCTTACTTAACATTGATGCCCATAGTGGTTAGATACACAGGTTCTTTTTAGTCCACTGCTAAATTAGAAGACAACTGCTGAGCTATCAAACACATAGTAATAAAGATCTTGAAAATCTCTGCTGACCTAATTACTTTCACTTGGAGGTACTGAATGTTCCTGATTAGCAAACAACTTGATCAGGTTTAATTTACATTGCTGGCAACTACTAGCATCAGCTCAGCTCTCAAACAGAATTTGAACATAAATTTATTTTCCTTATCAGTGTCACAGAAATGGAATTGGTGAACTATAAATATAAGTGCAATTTGAAAAAAAAATAATCCAGCATGATTAAGAATAATTGTGGGTTAGATGCTGAAAATTTCTCAGCAGATTGAAATCTTATAAACTAGGTATTGGTTGTTTTGTTTATTTTCTTTAAATAACATTTTTATTTCAATAAAGCACTTCCTACATATTGCTGGCGTAGAGGATGTTGCCTCAGGAATTGTAGAAGAATTCAACTTGAGCTTGTCTTACAACAAAACTTCCCTTATTTTACTAATAAAATTCAAACAGGTAGGGTTAATTCCATCACAGAAGATGGAGGGACATTTCATAAGCATGAAATTCTATAACCAATTTTCAACTCTCTTTCATGCATTCTCATAAAAATTATGATCTTATCAATGACTATTTCATAGATGAAGTAGTATTTGCAAAAAGTAAGAACCACGAAAGACAGAAGCTCTTACAATGCTCAAATCAATGTCAAGGAAGACAATTTTGCACCTGGATTTATTGCATCAGTTCTGATATAGAGTTCTAGAGTTCTGAATGACCTCTGCAATAAAAGCAGAGGTTCAGCCTCTTGACTTAATGGCTATCCTTCCTGAAATCCACTAAAAATTCCCTAATATATCTTTTGATTAATTCAAATAAATAATCTGTATATTAATCCATTTAAAGCACATATTGGTATGAGATCCATCACACAAAAATATTCTATGCACTAAAATTTTAGTAATACTTTACTACATGAAATTAAGAGGTAGATAGATACTACTCATTTTTTAATTTACTCTCCTGCTTGAGTACATACCAAGCTAGGACATCTCTGTTTGCAACTGGGACCATACACAACCAACTGGGACCATACACAATATTACTGGAGCATTATTAACTCAGTGCATCAGGAATAAGAGAAGTTGAAATTATTTCCTGAGTTCTCATTAATGGATGCCTTGGCTGCAGTGTCACTGCCAAACATTGCTTTCTTTCCCACTAGTCCTCATGTTCTTCTTCCACTACTTTTTCCATTGCCATTGCTCCCACTTGCTTTGGATGCTGTAGTGATGGAGAGATTATAAAATGGTCATCAGATGGTCATCGAACAAGCAAGCAGCACATTCCTTTTCTACGGAGAAAGAATAGCTTATGGGTTGTGTCTTGGATGACTTATTTTATTACTGATTAAGAGGTGCTGCATGGAGGATTTATTCCACGTGAAGTACTATTCCACTTGAGTATGTTTCCAGGGAATATTTAATTTCATGTTTTTGTTCTTCTTTAGAGCAATTACCCCAATGTTAATATCTTTTGCTGCTGTAGTTACTTCATTAGATTCTCCTGGCCAAACACCTACACAGGCTAGCAAATAGCAGAACAAGAATGAAGCATCTGCTTCTCTGTTTTTCGTCTTCTCATTTTGTCAGTTATTTCCTGAAGCTGTTTGTACTGCACTTAAGAAATGGGTAGAGTTCAACAGAAATCAAACAAATCAATTACTGAATGTTCTAGCAGACATTAGAGAGCTGAAAAAAACATAAATTCTTTTCCTGTTTTTCTGACTGGGCAGAGATACCCATGGTATGGGTAATAGTAAAAAACTTAATTTTTGTTAATGATAAGCTTTTCATAGTAATTTCTTATAAAAGTAGGCCTTGAAGCTTAGCAGCTCAATCAGAGCTGTGAGTCACAACACGTAAAGAGGAATCTACCTCATTATAGCCACAGTATGAATGGAGGACCTAACTCATGAGGTAAGCAAGGTCAAGGAACACTAGAGCATAGTCAGGAACAATTTATTTTAAGGATTTTCACGGGAGGTTAAATTGGTCCTATTCATAGAAAATAAACCAACACAAAAAGTCTTGCCTTGTCTAACTGATAGAATCTCTTTCCAACATCAGCCGATTTCATTTAGGCCAAATACTGGCATGACCAAATTTCTCTGTAAAATTGATTTATAACATAAACTTTGTGACATAAATACTCAAGAGGCACTTCTTTTCCCAAACAGGAAGTTTGAATACAAGAAGATGGAAAATAGACTAAATTAATACATTTGTCATTGACATACAAATGCAGACAGAGACGTCACACAGAAAAAAATCAAATATACCACACTTACTGAAAGTAATTGGCTTTAAAATCGTTTTTGCTATAGCAGTACTTAGATCAAAACAGAATCTTGAAATTCCACTGCTTTAATAACAAATAAGATAAATACTTTTGCAAAATCTGTGAAGAAAACCTCCCAGAGAGAGCCAACAGGTAAAGGAATTGCAAAGAGATCCTCATTTATCTTCTTATCACTTCTCCATTGTCCTTGAGCTTTTTTGGAACTCCTGTTCTCTGCTGCTTTTATAAACTGCCTGATTGTCCTGGTGAAATGACATTTCCATCCAGTTCAAGAATTATAGAACTTGAATAGATGCGGGTTTTCCACAGTTCTTTGCACTCTTCAACTCGCATGGCAAGTAAGAATACTCAAACAGGTGTTTTGCACAGTGAGACCCATTTTCCTCACTTTCTTCATAACTAACAGATTATTTTGTGTGATAGAAATTCTGTCTTTATGTGCAATTCCTTAATAAAATATGTACTAAAATACACAGCTGCATAATTTCTACATATACTGGCAAGTATGCACTCTGTAATCCATAGCCATTGCTGATGCAGATATCCAAATATGTTTGTATTCCCATTAGTATGGTGGGGTGTGGGGAGAAAGAGCAGGAATAGAACATTGTTTTTCAAGCCCTATTCTGTAGCAATTAGGTAAATATGATCTATAAAATCAGATCATAATGTGTAGCAATTCTGATACCCCACTTGTGATCAAGTAGACCTTTCCTTTTCTATATGAATGATTACAACAACCTGGAGGCAATTACAGCTAAAACTTGCAGGAGAAAACAATTTTTGTAAAAGTAACTCAACAGTGCAGAAATCAAAAAAGTCAGAATCATGAATCTTGGATCTTAATCATGAACCTATGGTTTACCACCATCCAGCACATTTCAGTTTAAAGCTGTGTCACAGAAACTGAATTGAAAAACAGAACTCTGTAAGCTAATTCCAGGAATGTTGGTTTATTACCCACCGTAGCTTCTGGTTATACTGCTTGACTTTTTCTAGTGAGGCAGCATTAATCTGAGCTTGAAATTCTTCCACTGAGACACTGTCTCTGTAATAGTATCCTTCCATGCTCTCCAAAGCTGTGAAAAGAGAAAGGAGAGTGGAAAAGAGAAAAATCAGTATTAAATATTTAATAATTGCCTTCTTTGTAGTTTTGTTCACACACAAGTGAATTACTTTTTAACCCTGAGGCTGTGACCCTACTGTGAATTGCTGAGTTGTTTCCATATGTCATCAAATTCATACAGATCTCTCTTAAAAATTTCATTTACAAGAAAAATTAAATCTCTTGCCCTGTAGAAAATATAAAGGAGAGCACTAATTTGAGTTCCTTTGCTCTAATTAAAGTATTTCTGCCTTTCGAATGCAAATGTGCGGTTTAAATCTGATATATCCTGGGAGAAAACAGTAAAATGAACTGGGATATAGGAAATAAAAGATCAATGTAACTTTCACAGAGGGGGACCTAATAACTTCTCATGAAGCCCGATTTTGCGAGATTTGGAGCACCTCAGAGATGTGGAACCTAGAGGTTCCCTGAGTTATACCCACTGATAATGTGAATATTTTCTTCTAGATCTGTAAAGCAAATTTTGCTGGATCTCTGGAAATGGCCTAGAAGTTCCTTTTCAAGGTAAGTGAAGTCAAATACTTGTCTGTGTCCACCTTTGCTATATTCATTTCACCAAACCAAGGATGAATATTGCTACAAGAACTCAGGAACTGATCAGAAACTTCAATGAAAGAATTCTCATTAAAATGAGACTGGAAGTATTAAGATCTTCACATTAACAGGTCAACCACATCATAACATAAACCCCAACTCTTAGTGAAATATGATTTTTTTTTGTGGAGAAGTATTAAAGGCTTTACAATAAGGAACATTGCCACTTTCATAATCCAAACACATTCTAAGAACTCATCACCCTATCAGAAATTGCAAGCCATAAGCAGAGTTTTCATGGAAACATGCCTTACAGCTTCAGCTGCACAGAGAATATTAATTCTGCTTGTATTGCTTAATATGACCAGTTAATAAATAATTCATTCATTGTGAAAGAACATGCAAATTGCATTCCCCTTCTGTGCTTTCACAGTTTGTAATTCTACTTCTGTGCAAAAAATATTAAGTTCCAACAGTCAGACTTGATTCTTCTTTGGTTCTAAGTCACACCAGAAAGCTCAAACAAAAATATCCACTGAACTCCATTTATAACAGTGTGTTAACACAAACAGAATTGATAATCCCTGCTGCTTATTTTACTGGCAGGCAGTTGGTTTCATTCAATTAAGATTACCCAAGCGGGAAACTCAGTCATCTGTGAGGACTGGCAGGAGCACAGAGCTCTGCCTCTGTGGGGCCACGCTCACAGGTGCAGGCAGGGACCCCCGTGCTGTGTGCTTTGGCCCTGCTCTCTCTGAATAGTGCAACTTTCTTCTACTCAGTATATTAGAAAGTTCTTTTGTAAGGAAGCTTTCCTTACAAAAAGGTCTTCTATGGTATTCTTTAACCCAAGATAGGATATTATGGTCTGAAGGCACAGAATAAGTGATCGAGAAAGCAACCTGGAAGAATGGGTGGGATCAGTGGGTAGTAGCTAATGGGATATGGTTTACCCAGGGGCCCACTACAAGCAGAGCATCACAGATATCTCTGTTGTTCAGTGTCTTTTATCACTGACATGGAGGAGGTAAGACAAGTTTGCAGCTGATGCCAAACTGGGACAAGCAGTGAATGGATTGCACCCAAGTGCAGGGCCACATAAAGAGCCAGGCTCTTCACAATGGTACAAGCTGAAAATCCACACAAATTGAAGTAAGAGATGTTTCAATTCAATAGAAATAAAAAGAATTTTCACCACTAGGGCAGTCAAGCAGCGTAACAGGCTGCCCAAGAGGTGTACAGTTTCTGTCCCTGAGTGCTTGCAAGATCCTACTTGTTAGACACCTAAGCCACCTGGTTTCATGCCACAGATGTTGCTCTTACAAGTGGGAGGTTGGAATAGAAGTCTCCTGAGGTCCCTCCCAATCTGAATTATTCTAATAATGCATGAAGAACTAAAAATAAATTTTAAACTATACATAATTAAGACACTATGTAACAATTTTAAAGAAACATAATTTAAATTTTAAATAGTATCTTTACATTTACTGCTGAGATCTTAAGCCTAAAGTAGGAAATAGAGAAATCTAAATGCCAATAGCCATATCTCAACAGCCCCAGCCACAGTCTTGCAAACCAGGACCCTCAATGTATACACACTTGAGTATGTGGTTGAACAAAAACTGTTTTTTAGAAATGGAGAGATAGATAATACAGCCTGGGTAAACAACAAAAAACTTCAAAAAATATTATAGTAAATATATTGATTTGTAATTTTAGGCATGGAGCTATGACACTCAGAATAGAGAAACACAGAGATAAACAGTCTGATGTGCACTGACCTGTGCCTTTGACAAAGTATTCCAAAACCACAATTTTCTAAATGTTCCATTTGAAAATAACATCAACCATTGTATTTTAGGCAGGAAACAACTTACCTATGTTTAGATTGGGGGAGCAAAATATCATTTCACAAATAAACTTAAATAAGATTTCTACATTAGTAGCTAATAAATTTCAGTTACAGATGGGAATCTACTGAGTTAGTTTAATGGCAGGTGAGCTAAACCTCATAGGAAAGAAGTGAAAAATAGAATCCAAATCCACTCATTAACGAGGTAAAAAAATCTCAAATTAATGATTTTTACACTAGCATTTAAAAACTTATCCAGGACTTTGGAGTCCAATGGACTATTTTAGACGATGATCATTGAAAATTAAAGAAATTTGATATGATAAAGAAAGTAGAAACTTTCCATTCTCCTGAAAAATATTAAGCAGATGTAAACACTTGAATAGAACCATATCCTTTTCCTTTAGCTGACTACAGATATGCTTATCCTAAGAATCAAATTTTTTGGGCTATTGGAAACAGAAGTGGAAAAAATTTTGCTAAATAAATCCCACAGCACATTGAATCCCCTCCCCAGTCTAAAAAAACCCAGTATTTCCAGGAATTTGGCTGAACCAATGTATTTTCTGTTCTCTCTCAAGTGCTTTTTTTTGACTGCTCCACTGAAATTTGCCTCCTGTTCAGTGTTCTTATTTCTCCCTATGACTGAAATCAATCTATTCAAAAGAAAACCACTGAAGTCTTAATTAGCTTGTTTAAAATTCTAACTCCAGGGATTTTTTTTAATTGTTTGTTTTAACTTTATACTAAGTTCATCTATTTATTCATGTTTCTGTGTGCTATTTCCTTTTACATCCTCATTGTCTATCAGAGACCAAGATCCCCTCTAAAACAACATTTGTATGCCTGACTTCTGCCTATTCCACACAGACCCAGGAAGCCTTTCACAAGGTGTGGAGTATTTTCAGCTCCCTGTGAAATCAAAGGCGGCTCAAGGCAATCAGCAGCTCACATTCACCATTTCAGTGAAGCAAACTTCACGCTCCTGATGACTGTAATGACACTGCAGCTAATGCAGGCTGCCTGGAATTTATGAACAGTCTGAGCATCAGCGCCACCACTCCTCACTTTGTAAGGTTTGCACAGCAGTAACTACATAAGCCTGAAAATGCTATTTAACTCCTCATAACTTTTTCAGGAGACAGAATTCTCAGGGGGATAACAATTTAGTTCTCAAATATGAAGTAATGGGAAAAGATTACGATAGCATTTGAAAAGCAAAATACTTCTAAGTGCAAGTTTCATGGTCTGACTATTGTCCATTAACAGCTAAAAAGAACAAAACAATATTGATAAATGAAGATTCACACTTTATGGTTGAAATCGTGTTAACTGGCATACTTAGACATTTATAACCATGCCTCTATTTTAATTGCAGACATCAGAATCTCTTCAATTTATATTTTAATTTCAAGTCCTCAATAAACGCCCACATTAAACAACATCTAAATATAAGCGTTGTACCCTTATGACTACAGAGGATTCAAATCAGAGTAAATAAGTGGCAGTTTAAAGAGAGTTAGCTATTATGTGAAAAAAGCAGGGCAGGGTTAATTTAACCTCAAGTTACCTTGTGAAAAAAGTACTGGGTGGATTTTAAATCCTCCTCCATTCTTCAGCCTTTGCGGAAGCTGTTCAAAATGGTAACCATCAAGGTAGAAGTAAACCTTCAGTGTTTGCCTGCTTCCTTCTGCTTGGTATGTGATTGGTACATCTAAAAATACAGTCAATGTTACAATTTGATTGTAAACAATGACACATTCTTTTCCAGAAACTGCTGCACACAAAATTCATGCAGTTACATGAAAAAATCACTACAGACACAACATTCAGTATTTTTCATTATACATTGTTTCCATAGGTAAGTCTCCAAGTTGAAAACAGTAACAAACATAGTGAATTGCATCCGTATTATTATTATTACATAGAGTTTTTTTTACTGTGAGCATAAATCACATTGTACCTAAATGCTAAAGAGTCCAAAAGAACATTTTCACTACTAATGGTAATAAGAAAATTCTTATTTTCTCTTATTGATTATGCAGAATTGTAACAAAAAAAAAAAAGATTTTGCCAATTCTTGGGCTGCTGTAAACATAGAGTGACTGTGGTGGCAGCATTTAAACCAAAAGAAAATACAGAATTCATTACAATCCTTGAACACGTGGCGTCCCTGTTTATTAGTACAGATGGCTCAGTTGAAAGATCCTGCAAGATGAACAGTTCATCACATAGGTACAACATTAACTCCACATTAGGAGGCCCTCCTGGAACTGCACTTCCATGTTGTTACTGGATTTAACAGGGCTTCTTTAGAAAACACTCTGAGCAGCAGACGTACTTGAATCAAACCAAAATAACCATGGTCTTACATGGGCTAAATCCTACCTGACTATCAGCCCTGTGCTACTGAATTCTCCCGAGCAGAGGCAGCTTTGTGGAGTAGTTTTGTGTCTTCTGGTTTTGGTTATTGCAGAAGTTCGCTCCAGTGTGGTCTTAATCCAGCAAAGGAATTGTTTCAGAAGGGCTTGATGTGAAGCAGACATGCTTTCCTCCCTTCCCAGGGGACTTACGAGACAGGAAAAAAATGAGGCCTTTTTGCTCACTAAACAAAGTTCACTGCAGGACAATATCTACTGGCTAAACATACATTTATAAAGGAATGGCTGAAAATGAGCAAAGTGTGTGAACAGCAGACTGCAAAGACAGTCCTTTCCTGCTGAGTTGAGCAAGTTCTGTGAGGAAGGGTTCTGGACCCTGATCATCTGCAGCAGCAGGTCTCAGAGAATTCTTCTTGCCCAATTTAAAATTATCCTAATAGTGTCTGTCCTGTCCTCTCAAGGAACTCTTCAAAGAGACATTTATTTTTCACATAAGAAAATGAAATGTGGTTTATGCTTCTTTATCTCATATCAGTTGTGTTTCCCTACCAAGACCTTCAAGCTATTTTTACACATTTCTTCAACAACAGCTGGGTCTTCCAGGGACTTTCCTGATGCAGTCACATAGTCCCAATGTTCATACTCCCAAAATTCAGCTAAGCAAACAATTTTTCCCCCAGGGTTACTGACATTGCCAGATAATGATTCTGCAGTGTCACTGATGATAGCTGTATTTC